CCTGATCGGAGGTCGGGTCGCCTCCTATGTGTCTGTAGTAGAACGTCCTCATGGTGCGTTCACAAGCACTCGGACATCGGACTTACGCTCGTTATTCGTCATATGCGGACTTTCGTTCTTTCCGACCGGCCACATATTTTTGAATTACATCGTTCAGAACTGGGGTGGCAGCCGGGGTGGCAAGGCATCTTCTAGGGGTGGCAGATGCCACCCCATGCCACCCCGGTAGATCCGCTCCTGGTCACTGGTTTGCTGTGTTTCAGAGCACGGTGGATAAACTCATCAAGAAGACCAACCTGGCCCTGCTGATCGGGACCAACAGCTGGAGAGAGCAGTTTGTGGAGGCCATCACCGTCAGCTCCGGTACCAGCTCCACCTGAACCAGCCCACAGGTAAACCTCCGCTGAGCTGTTTGTGGTGTTAATCCTGGCTGTCTGCTCGCCAGGTGACGATGATGACGATGATGAGCGTGGTGAGGAGAAGCTGCCCTCCTGCTTTGACTACGTCATGCACTTCCTCACCGTCTTCTGGAAGCTTCTGTTTGCCTTCGTGCCTCCCACCGACTACTGGAACGGCTGGGCCTGTTTCGTCGTCTCCATCTCCGTCATCGGCCTCCTGACGGCGGTGATCGGGGACCTGGCGTCGCATTTCGGCTGCACCGTCGGCCTCAAAGACTCCGTCACTGCTGTGGTGTTCGTGGCTTTGGGCACCTCTGTACCAGGTCCAGCACAAACCCGACTCACTGCCTTTATGGACACTTTGAATGCCACCGTTGGTTACAGACCTTTAAAACGAATCCAAAGAGGTCTTGAACTAGTAATCTGACTTTGACAGCTAGTTCAAGACCTTTACAACTCATACATTTACGACTTCCAGACCCTTACAACCAGTCTTCACCTCTACAAATAGTCCTCTGACCTTCACAACTAGCTCCAAACACCCACAAATGGTTGCAGACCTTTACAGCTACTCCTAAGAACGTAACTAGTTCCAGCCTGCCACAACTAGTCCTTGAACCTTTAGTAGTTCCAGACGTTTACAGCTAGTTCCAGGTCTTTAAAATTTGTGCTCAGACTTCTCCACACCTCCACTTACAGAGTTCATGTCTGTCTCTGATGACATCGCAGTGACATCATCACCTGTGATGAGTCTGATCTTAAACGTATTGTCTTCTCTCTGACAGACACCTTCGCCAGTAAGGTTGCAGCCATCCAGGACCAATATGCCGACGCCTCCATTGGCAACGTGACAGGAAGTAACGCTGTCAACGTCTTCCTGGGGATCGGCGTGGCCTGGTCCATCGCCGCCATCTACCACAGCATCAAGGGTGAAGAGTTCAAGGTGGACCCGGGCACGCTGGCTTTCTCCGTCACGCTTTTCACCATCTTCGCCTTCATCTGCATCGCCGTCCTCATCTACCGCCGCCGACCCGAGATCGGCGGGGAGCTCGGTGGCCCCCGAGTCCCCAAGATCCTGACCACCAGCCTGTTCTTCAGCCTGTGGTTAATGTACATCGTTTTCTCCTCGCTGGAGGCCTACTGCCACGTAGAGGGCTTCTAATGTTCTGCTTCGGACCGCCCCAGACTCTCTAATGGATTCTGATTGGTTGTCATGGATTAGGTTCCTGCATGTACCAACAGGTTCCTGTTATGTGTTTTAGTCTAAAGGTTGTAGCGGGGTCTGATTCTTCAAAGTTCTGATGACAGGTTTCTTAACACGGGCACATGAATATTCTGATGGACGCTGTGAAGTTATTTTTGATTTTTTTTTAAAGGTTCTAAACATCTTTGATCTTTTTTAAAGGTTTCAGAGACTCCTGGACAGCTGCAGCAGCTTCTCGACAGGCCTGATAGGTTTCCAAAGGTCTTCTGGGAGTTTGGATACACTTCTGGTGGTTCTGCTGAGTTCCTGAAATTCCTCTAAAGGTTCAGAACTTAAACACTTAACATTCTAACAGTTTCCTGAGAGCTGATGGAAATCTAAAGACTTCAGTTTTCTCAGGTTCCTGTCTCGTGTTAGTCCAGCGCTTCGACGAGGTTCCTGACAGTTGATGGAAATGTTTGGGTTCAGGCAGGTTTCTGAAGTTCTGTAAAGCTGGGATGAACTCCTAATGAGTCTTTGACAGCTTGTTTTTGACTAAATATCTGAACTGTGTCATTCTTTCAGCGTCTTTAAAGATCTCACAGGTTCTAAACACCTTTGATGGGCTTTCTTGAAGTCTCAGAGATTCCTGAAGAACTCTGCTGCTTCTCGACAGTCCTGATGGGTTTCCAAAGTTTTTCTTTATGTTTAGATGAACTTTTAGTGATTCTGCTGGATTCTTGTAATTTTCTAAAGGTTTACATCAAGGAATAAAGGTTCTGCTGAGTTCCTGACAGCTGATGATATCTGAAGGCTCCCCTTGGTTTCTATGTAATGCGTCAGGTTCTTTGCATGAACTCATGATTCTCTGAGGTTCCTGTCTCTTGGTTGTCTAAAATGTCTACCAGGTTCCAGACGGTTTCCAAAGGCTTCCTACATATTTGGATGAACCTCTAATGGTCGTGTTGAGTTCCTGTAATTTGGCCAAAGGTGTACACCGATGATTAAATGTTCTAAAAGGTTCCTGACAGTTGGTGGAAATGTAACTGTTGTGACAGCTTGTTTTGGATTCTAAATATTCTGTCTGTGTGGCAGTTTCAGTTCAAATTCTAACAGCTACCAAACATCTGAACGTTCTGGTGGAAGCCTCATTCTGCTGTTCTCTGGACTGTTCTCCGGCTGCTGAGCGCCGGAGGCTCGACTGTCTCGTTTACCTGCAATGTAAACCCTTTATCCGAACCCTTCGGCCATGTACAGCTCTTTGACTTCGATGTGCGTGGACTTCTGAGAACCTGCAGCACTCTGGACTGCAGCGAGCGCTCGTGTTGCACCTCCATGAATATCTGCACTGAGTTTGAATTAAAGATTTGAGATGAACGGAGGCGTCAGCGGTCTTTGAACTCTTTAACACAGACGCTGCTGCAGTGGATTCAGACGAGAGAAAGGCTTCGCTGTGAGCTGATGTTCTCATGTAAACACAGAATGCAGTGGTTTTCCTTCAAGTAATAAAGTGCAGTGTGACGTGTCGCCTTGAATCTTTCTCGTCTCTGATTGGTCCACAGAAAGCACCCAGTCTCAGTCACAGCCACCGTCAGCGCTGTGGCAGCGTTCACTGTCTGTCACATGGAAGAGGCGAGTCAGGCAGCGGACGAGAAGAAACTCCAGCATTGTTTATTGTGTTCAACACGGTTCACAGAGGTTACAGAACTACGTTTTAAACACAAACACAACCATCTGACGGTGAAGGCTGGGCTCTGTAGACTCTGTCAGATGTTTGATTACACTGGTCTAACGGAGCCCTCCTCATACAAACAGCAGCTGAGGATTGTGGGTAATGTAGTGTATGGTGCCATTCAGAATTCTCAATATCTGCCACTAAGTGATCCCAAGGTTCATGTCTGCCTGAAAAATAGATAAAAATTCATTCATTTGGTGTCTCTATGTGGTGGTTTTGTGTGTCTTTGTGGTCAGTTTGTGTGTCTTTGTGTTGCAAACGCAACAGTCATTTCAAACTGGGGCCCTGGGTCACTTCCTCTAACTAAGCTGCACTGATGTGTGAGTTAAAAGACTTGCTGCTACAAAAACAGCTCCACATATTTTTAAAAGTTAAGATAAATCATTTACTGTCAAATCCAACTAGCTCAGTTAATTCACAGACAGAAAGCATCATCAAGCGTCTCAGAGAAACACATGAAGCTCTGTACAGTATTTACAGGCTCTAATAAATACTCATCATAGAAAAAGTAGAACAGCGAAGTGACACATCTGCTCCAACATGATGCCAG